GTGTGCCATCTGTGAAAGAGGCCCCGGCTGGATCTGACTCTGCTGCCACTTGTGTGTCTTTTATAAAATAGATTAGATTGGAAATGAAGGTGATGTTGCTGATACGTTATCATAACAAATGGCATGCACGTAAAAACAGGGAAAGATGAGGGGAAGGGGTCATAAACACAATGGTAACTACCTGCGAATATGTTTCCCCCCCTTGGTTGGCATTTAGTGAGATTTGTTCATTGTACATAGAATCAAGGGCAAAGACCAATTTAAAAAGCTGCCCCATTTTTTTTTAAAGTAGAGCAGAAATAGGGATAATTGGGCCTTCAGGGATTTACAGCTAAATATCCATTAGGGTTCATATTGTTTAGTCCATTAAAAGGGGCCAGACTGTGTTGGGCAGCAGGTGATGTCCAGGGTATGGTAAGTGGCCTTGCATTTAATCTGATCTCTTACCTGCCTTGATAGTTTTTAAAAATCTACCTGGTCAGCAGGGGCTTGAGGTGCTTTGCTTCTGATTTTGGGTTCCTGCCCTGGTTTACTCTGAGTGCACCATTCTTCAGATGCTATCTTACAAAATAAAATTCAATTTATGTAAAGTTCAGCAGGAATGTAGATATTTTCTCATTTTCCTTTTAATAACCTCTGCTATGGTTAAGAGCCCTTTGTGCTTGTTTATTTCATAGATACAAATGACATGAGAGAACTTAGTGAGTGAGTGAGAGAGAGAGAGAGAGAGAGAAAGAGAGAGACAAATGTAGGGCAGGGGATAAGCCACTTCTTTTTAAAGACAGAGACAAGCTGGGGAACAATTGAGAATTAAATCCACATTCATAAATTCCTTAATTGGCACAGTCATCATCTTTAATTGCCCGTTATAAAGGACACTATAAAATTCACGGGATAAATTGTTGGCAGATGAAATTATAGGAGGCTATAAAATGCATTTTGTAATATGTAAATATTGATGGAGCAGTATTTAGCTGCGTGGAATAATGTGCAGTAGAAAGTGATCTTAATCAAGAATGAACCTGTTTAGTTCTTCAGTTGTGAGCGCAGAGAATTTCTTTAGACTGCTGGTGCTGGGATCTCAGGCTCTTATCATTTTTGGATCATGTCCACCAGTTGAAGGCTTGCGTGTGGACCTCTTTGACAGCTGAGTGTTCTCAGTCCACTTAGGCGTAAACAGAAAAAAGAAAAGAAGAGGAAAAAAAATAATGTGTTCTCGAGGCTGCTATGCTATGGTCCGGACCTTAAAAGGTCTGCTTTTGGGGGATTATGACTCCCAGCATGATTGCTAGCCATGCTGATTGAGGGATTCTGGGATTTGTGGTCCAATGAGATACCTTTTCCAAATTCTTGTGGGTTGATGCTTGTCTAATAAAACCAATAATATTGTACGTACTTCAGTGTAATGATCAGCTACTGTGTATGGAATATCTGCTTATAAAATATGGCACCTCTTTGCTGTATTTTGTGTGCAGCTGCTCCATTAAGCTCCTGCTGGGTAGCTCAGTGGTTTAGGCATCTGCCTGTGGGAGTAGAGGTTGGGAGTTTGATTCCCCAGTGTGCCTCCCTGACAGGGGCTGGACTCACTGATCCATAGGGTCCATTCTGCTGTTCTAAGATTACTCCATTTATAGAAGCTGAGGCTTATTGCAAAGCATGATGTAGTCGCACATCTGCCGTTCAACATTCAAACACAGATGAAGAACCCTCCACTAGAGTGATGGAAGCAGGAGATCCATCGTGTTGACTTCTTTTGCTGTTAGATAACAGCAGGCACATTTCTAGTTTGGGCCCTTGCAAACTGAATGAAGCTGTAAAAAAATGAAAGGCGATTATTTTCTTTCCTTGCCATGGTACCACAGGCTCTAGAGAATGGCAGCATTTGCAAACCACACTGCCTCAGCAGAGCTCCTGCCTCGAAAGGTCAGGAATGATCTTGTTGTTTGTGCTGTTAAGTCATTACTGGCTTTCCCAGAGTACCGTTGTCTGATGTAAGCGGTTGCATTGCAGATGTCCATGTTTTTCCCACTTGGCAAGGAGGCATCGTTAAGACCAGTATTCAATCTCTGAACCCCATTATTCACAAAGTGCAGTTTACTGAGCTTTTCTTTCTGTAATAAAACTGAACATTCAGCGCTGTACTTCGGAATACTTTCTAGTGTCCCAGAGGAAAACAGGAGGCATGTTCTCAGATTTTAATAGGGAGGGAATGAAGAGGGTTATTTTTAGCAAATAAAGTGGAATTCTAAGCAAAATTCATTGATGCTTGGGTATAAGCATGATTAATTTGCAAAAACAAAACAAAACAAAAAGTATTTTAGGATATATTTTTGAATTACCTCATAATTAACAGAAAAATATAAGACAGGGAAGAAGATAGTTTTTTTTGTGCTTTGTGTTGACATCCATTGCAACCTTCTCCATTGTGAAAAAGAGGCCCCAAAATAGACAACTACACAACCAGAAGCATCCAGGAGGTGCAAAACTCAATTGTAAAGCCTTTGGTAGCTCATGCATCTTCAGATGGGCCCAAAAGTTCCTTTTAATGGTGGAAGAGACCTTAAAACGTAACAGGATGAAATAGCTATCCTAGGCATAATCCAACCATCACTAAATAAACATTTGAAATAATATTTTATTCCTACTTTTGTATGTGTGTGTGTGTGTAGAATTAAATCTGGAATAAATAGAGAATTGGATAGGAGGAGATATAAAGGAGTGTATGCACCAAGGTAGACAGTGTAACATTTGAAAGAATAATAAAAAGCAATTACAAATGTAGGCAAAAAGAACTGGTTGAGATTACAGTATTGTAAAATGAATTGATGGAAATGATGTTTTTGATGTACATTGATGTGAGACTAATAATACATAGGAAGAACTTAAGCCTTATATGTGGAGAGTTTAAAAATGCTTACTACCAAAGAAATGGAGGAAATGCAGTTTTGTGAGGAAGGTCAATGACATCATTGGTGGTCATGGTGGAAGGCAGCGTGGACTGAACCTCGTTGCGCAGTGGTTAAACTGCTGTCCTGCAGCCAAAACTGTGCTCATGACCCCGGGGGTTCAGTCCCAGGTAGCCGGTTCAAGTTTGACTCAGCCTTCTATCCTTCCGAGGTCGGTAAAATGAGTACCCAACTCACTGGGGGTGGGTGGGCAACGTGTAGCCTGCAAAATTAACTTGTAAACCGCCCAGAGAGTGCTTATGGGGCGGCATATAAGCAGCACTATCATGCAACCCTTGAAACTGTCATGAATCTGTCTTTAGATTAACTTTGGTTATCTATCAATGTCCTAATTATCGTTTATCTTTAACTGAAATTGATTGTGTCAAATATACAATGTTACTGTATGTTAGAATAAGACCTGTGAACTCCTTTCAGAGAGTGCGCTCTTTGTTTTGCACTCTTCATTAGATTCAACTGTAGCACTTTTCAGATTTTTCTCCCACTACAACTATCAGAAAACAACAGGAATTCCCCCAGGTAGAATTCAGGTAGCTTTAGTGGGGGAAAAAAAATCTAATTCTCACAGGAGGTTCAGAATCCTCACCTGTTCCTTGACAAAGGTATTTTCTGTCCCAATGGCTATTCAGCATGGGGAAGAACATGGGTAGACCTTTTTTATCTCCATGACAACTGCAGAGCATTGGGGGGGGGGCAGTAGTTTTTTTGAGAGGCACCCTCTAATGCAGAGAGTCTACTGCCCCCTAATGCTCTGCTGTTGAATGTTTGTTTTGGCTAAAGTTACCAGAATTCTAGCTGGGTAATATATCCTGCTGAATTCTGATAGTTGTAGGTGGGGGGGGGGAAGAGAAATCTGAAAATCTCATGTCTAATGCACTGTGTAACAGTGGTTTTAAGAAATAGGTCTCTACGATTACCTATCTGAACTTGGGATGTAAATCCTTGTATGTCTCCTTCTCACTAAGCAGAAAGAGCAACTGCAACATTCTTCTCCTCATTAGTGGAGAAATAGTGCTGTGGGAGAGGAGCTTCTTCCTTGCCTATCCCGTCTGCTTTGCAGGTCCACCCAGAGACCTTGGGAGCCTGTGAGAAACAAGATACAGTGCTTAGCAGAAAGAGCAACTGCAACATTCTTCTCCTCATTAGTGGAGAAATAGTGCTGTGGGAGAGGAGCTTCTTCCTTGCCTACCCTGTCTGCTTTGCAGGTCCACCCAGAGTCCTGGGGTGCCTGTGAGAAACAAGATACTTCAAAACTAATTGAAAACAAAATTATATCTTCAAGCTGTAGAATCCTGGAATAAAGGTGACAAATACAGTACTTGGGTTTTTTGCCACCTTCATGCCACTGTGGAAACTTCAAAAGACTCATCCTCTGAGTTCAGCTTGCCGCCTCCTATGTGGTTCGCAGAGGGGGGGCGGGGCCCAAAACGGGCTGCCGGCAGCCATTTCCGGGCTTCCGGCGGCCATTTTGGAACCGCTGATCAGCTGTTCGGCGGCTCCAAAATGGCGGCCGCAATACCCGATCTTCGCAATGCGCGTTTTCCCCATTGCGACGATCGGGGATGTTTCCGTATAGCGATCCCGAAAAAGGGATCGCTATACGGAAACATCGCTATACGGTGCACTCGTTAAGTGAGGCAGCACTGTACTTCAAAACTAATTGAAAACAAAATTATTTCTTCAAGCTGTAGAATCTTGGAATAAAGGTGACAAATACAATACTTGGGGTTTTTTTGCCACCTTCATGTCGCTGTGGAAACTTCAAAAGACTCAGCCTCTGAGTTCAGCTTGCCGCCTCCTATGTGGGGTTCCTTTTCAACTTAATTTGTTACTCTCTTTATTTTTGGCTCTGCACAACAGCCAACTATCCAACTTGCCACCTCTGAGGCTGGCCTTGCTGGCAAGGATGCTAACAATTTCAATAAAGTTCTCACGCAGCCAGGAATGATAATTTGTACAATAATTTGCCCATTATTATTTCTGTCTCTAATCTGGACCCTCAGTAATGGTTTTCCAAACTGGTTTCTTCTGCAGGCCTTGGATGCGAAGGAAACATTAGGAGATGCAGAAATGTTTGTGCATATTTTCAAATGGGATTTTGGATGTACTGCAGAACATGTACACTGATGAGCCTGTTTAGCCACAGCAAAGGCTTAGAAAAACTACCAAGGTAAGGCTTCATCCTTTTAACAGATAATGAATATTTCTGTAGTGTCTTACGCAGAATTAATTGCAGGAAACTATTCTTTTCCTTCCTTCCTTCCTTCCTTCCTTCTCTT